ATTTTGGTCAATGACATAAGACAAAGTATATGTGAACTGCTGTATGAAAAGTGAATTTACTCTGTAAATCTTCACCCAAATCCTAATTAAAAAAAAAAAAAAGAGAGAGAACTACATTCTATCACAGATAAACTGTTTGTTTCGTTTGAGCATTTCTCTTTGTTCTTGGTCCCAGTCTTATCCTCTAGAATAAAGGTTAGCAAACTATGGGTCAAACCCAACCCGTAGAGTCAGTCCCAACTCACAGCTACCCTATGTACAACAAAATGAAATGCTGCCTGGTCCTATGCCATCCCATCATTTTTCTTTCTTTCTTTCATTTTTTTAATTGTGGTAAAATTTGCCATCTTAACCACATTTTAGTATACAATACAGTGATTACATTAACCATGTTGTGCTACCATCATCATTATCCATTTCTAAAAGTTTTATATCACCCCAAATAGAAACTCAGTACCTCTTCAGCCCAACTCTCCAGCCCCTGGTAACCACTAATACATGTTTGCATATTTGCATATTCTGTATATTTCATAGGAGCTCTGGTAGCATAGTGCCTAAGGCACTTGACTGCTAACCAGAAGGCTGGCAGTTCAAACCCACCAGGCACTCCTCAGAAGGAAGGTTTGGCAATTTATTTCCATAGTGATACCACCTTGGAAACCCAAGGAGGGGTTGCTATGAGTCGGGTCTGACTTGACGGCACAGAACAACAACATATATTTCATATAAGTAGGATCATACAGTATTTGTCCTTTTGTGTCTGACTTATTGCAGTGTAATGGTTTCAAGATTTATCCATGTTACAGGTTTACCATGGATCAGAACAAGGTTTATTCATGTATCACAACTTCATTTCTCTTTAGGGATGAATTATATTTCATGTGTCAATATACCACAGTTTGTTTATCACTTTATCTGTTGATGGATGCTTGGGTTGTTTGCACTTTTTGGCTATTGTATACAATGCTGCAGTGAACAATGGTACATATGTATCTGTCTGAGTCCCTGCTTTCAAATCTTTTGTTTATATTCAAAGGAGTAAAATTGCTGGGTCATATGGTAATTGCACTGGGCAAATCTGCTGCAGAAGACCTCTTTCAAGTGCTGAAGGCAAAGATGTCTCTTTGAAAACTAAAGCATGCCTAACCGAAGGATGGTGTTTTCAATCACCTCATATGCATGTGAAAGCTGGACAATGAATAAAGAAGATGGAAGAAGAGTTGATGCTTTTGAGTTGTGGTGTTGACCAGGAATACTGAAAGTACCATGGACTCCCAAAAGAACTAAGAAATCTGTCCTAGGAGAAGTACAGCTGGAATGCTCGGAGGAAGTGAAAACAGTCAGACTTCGTCTCACCTATTTTGGTTATGTTGTCAGAAGTGACCATTCCCTGGAAAAGGATATCATTCTTGGTAAAGTGGAAGGTCAGCAAAAAAGGGAATGGCCCTCCATGAGATGGACTGACACAGTGGCTGCAATGATGGGCTCAGGTATAGCAAGGATTGTGAAGCTAGTGCAGGACTGGGTAGTGTCTTGTTCTGTTGTACATAGGATTGCTATGAGTCGGAGTTGACTCGATGACACCCAACAACAACAACAACCTGGTAATTCTATGTTTAACCTTTTGAGGAACTCCCAAACTGTTTTCCATGGTAGCTGCAGCATTTTACATTCACAGAAGCAACACACAAGGGTTTCAATTTCTCCACATCCTCATCGACACTTCTTACCTAATGTTTTTCTAATAACATCATCCTAGTGAGTATGAAGAGATATTTCATTTGATTTTGACTACCATCTATTTCTGTAAATAAAATTTTATTGGAAGACAGCCACATCCATTCATTTATAATCATACACAGCTACTTTCTCGTTACAATGGCAGAGTTGGGTAGATGCAACTAAGCCCTTACCTGCTACAAAGTCTAAAATATTTACTATCTTGCCCTTTACAGAAATGTTGCAATATCTAAAATTCTCTTACAGCTCTAATACTGTAAATCATTTCTTAACAAGAGTAACATTAAATAAAACAAATATTGAAATATAATGAGAAAAATAAATTTATACCTTAACAGACTGTAAGATGCTGGTTCCCTGCTCTGTTTCAATTTCGCAATTATCACACTCAATTTTCTGGACTTGGACATGACCAGACCCTGATGACTTGACATTCAAATCTAAAAGTGAAGAAAGAAAAACAACTTAGTATTGTTGTCAATGAGCTCCAAAGCATTTCAGTAACCTCTGGAAACTCGGCTCCTCTTTTCCCAGAAGTTATGTCCACAATATTAGAATATCCTGGAGAAAACACAACTGTGACAGTCACTCTCAAAAGGGGTTTCTATCATGGCAACAGAATCATATTTAAAAGCCACTTGTGACAGTTTTTAAAAATAAAGCAGTTATTTTTACTGGTTCATATCATCAAGGTGTATATAAAAAGAGAGAGATCTTAATATCTTTTATTTACAATTTACCTTATTCATTTCTTAGCCTGTCCATTACAAAGGATATCTTGTGATATTTTTGGTATGCAAAGGAGATAATAATACACATGTGAAGTAAAGGAGACAAGATAATCCAGTTCTTGTAAGTACCCCTGTGAAAAATCATGGAAGCCTCTCCTGCACTGAGAAAACACACACACACGCACACACACACACACTAATTCCAGTAAGAACACAGCAAGTTAACAAGTCATTATAATAAATCAGTGCATACTGGAGGAGTAGCATGGAACAGTATACATGACCATGACTCAGGATTTCAAATTTTACTTCTAGCCTTTCATACATAAAAAATGGTATTTCCATATACAACCGCATCACAAAGGTATATGAAGTAATAAAAAATGGAAAGAACCTTGAAAACTAATACTAAATATTATTAAAAACCTTTAGATTCTGGGTAATAACACTGGTATCTAAAGCACGTTTGGAAAATAAGGAAGGAGTCACAGGTGCCATCCTGCCATCCTTGACTGTTAATTAAAGGTATATCCTTACATAACTGTGTTAAAAAAAAAAAAAAAAAAAGGATGTTTAATACCTAATTCACATAGATATTGATGATTTTCCTGAAAACAGACCAGAGAAATAAGCAGTGTTGCTCAAAAACAAAATACTGGGGTCTAACTCCACAATGCTGTCAGTGATAGGATAATACCCATACACCTACAAGGAAGATCAGTTAATACTACTATTATTCAAAGTGATACACAAACCACTAAAGCCAAAGAGGAAGAAACTGAAGATGTTTGCCAACTTCTGCAGTCTGAAATTGACCAAACATGCAATCCAGATATATGGATAACTATTAGTGGCTGGAATGTGAAAGCTGGAACAAACAAGAAGCATCAGTAACTGGAAAATATGACCTTGGTGATAGAAATGATCCTGGAGATCGTATGACAGAATTTTGCAAGACTGATAATGACTTATTCATTGCAAATACCTTTTTTTCAACAACATAAATGGCAGCTATACACATGGGCCTCACCAGGTGGAGTACATCGGAATCAAATATGAAGAGATGATAGCAAAGCTCAATATCATCAGACAGAACAAGGCCAGGGGCCGACTGCAGAACAGACCATCAACCGCCCATACATACGTAAGCATAAATTGAAGCTGAAGAAAATTAAAGCAAGTCCACGAGAACCAAAATATGGCCTAGACTATGTCCCACCTGAATTTAGAGACCATGTGAAGAACAGATATGATGCACTGAACATCAATGACCAAACACCAGACAAGCTGTGGGATGGCATCAAGAACATCATACATAAGAGGAACACAGGGAAAAGGTAACTACAGGAAGGAAGTGCGAAGAGAGCTATTACATTGTGGGGAATTGCAGTCAATGCCATGAAACAAAATGTGTATGAATTGCTGTGGAAAATTAATTTGCTCTGCTAACTTTCACCCAAATCACAATAGAAATAAAACAAAATAAAGAACATCAGATATAAAGAAAGCAAAAAGTCATTAAAAAGACAGGAAAGGAAGAGAAGACCAAAATGGATGTCAGAAGAGATTCTGAAACTTGCTCTTCAATGGAGAGTAGCTTTAGTGAATGGAAGAAATGATGAAGTAAAATAGCTGAACAGAAGATTCCAAAGGGCAGCTCAGGAAGACAAAGTAAAGTATTATAATGAAATGTACCAAGGGAAGAACATGTTTGGCATTTCTCAAGCTGAAAGAACTGAAGAAAAAATTCAAGCCTTGAGTTGTAATACTGAAGGAGTCTATGGGCAAAAAATTGAAAGATGCAGGAAGCATAAAAAGAAGATGGAAAGAATACACAGAGTCACTGTATCAAAAAGAACTGGTCGACATTCAACCATTTCAAGTGGAAGCAGATGATCAAGATCTGATAGTATTAAAGAAAAAAGTCCAAGCTGCACTGAACACATGGCAAAAAATAAGGCTCTAGGAATTGAAGGATTAATAATAATAATAATAATAGAGATGTTTCAACAAACAAATGCAGTGCTAGAGGCACTCACTTATTTATGCCAAAAAATTTGGAAGACAGCCATCTGGCCAAATGACTGAAAGAGATTCATATTTGTGACCATTCCCAAGAAAGGTGACCCAAGAGAATGTGGAAATTTGAGCCATATCATTAATATCACAAGTAAGTAAAATTTTGCTAAAGATAATTCAAAAACAGTTGCAGCAGTACATTGACAGGGAGATACCAGAAATTCAGAAAAGTACATGGAATGTGAGATTTCATTGCTGATGCTAGATGGACTTTGGCTCAAAGCAAAGAATACCAGAAAGATGTTTACTTGTGTTTTATTGACTGTGCAAAGGGATTTACTTATGTGGATCTTAACAAATTATGGATAACAACGAGAAGAATGGGAATTCCAGAACACTTCATTGTGCTCATGAGGAACCAAGAAGCATTACTCAAATAGAACAAGTGGATACTACACGGTTTAAAATCAGAAAAGGTCTGGGTCAGTGGTGTATCCTTTTCATTGCACATATTCAATCTGTATGCTGAGCAAATAAATAATCTGTGGTGGTTAAGTTTATGTGTCAACTTGGCTGGGCAGCTGAATATAGTTATTCCCCATGGTGAGATTGGTGATTAACTCCATGATGGACTCTATTGAAGCAGCTGAGTAGCTGCTTTGGGTATATGGTCTACTTCCCATATATAAAGAAACAGCTTTGGAAATGGTCTCTAGTTTATAGCACGCTTGAAGCCTGCATGTAGCCGTGTAGTTGTTCCACAGCCTGCCACACTCTGCTGACCTTGGAACTTTCAATGGACTTGAATTAATGGCCTGCCGTGTGGTTTGGTAACATCAGGACTGTGCCTTTTTACTTGTCAGCCTTAGGCTTGTCAGTCTCAGCAGCCAGGAACTGTCTGAGTGAAGAAAAGCCTCTAGCTTCAGTGGGCTGGGAGCAAGAGGCAGAGCTGAAGCACAAGGTTGAGGGACTTTCACCCAGCCCCTAGAGCCTGGCACTTTGAACTTGGATTTAAAGCCTCCAAACTGTAAGAGAATAAACTCCTGTTTGTTCAAGACATCCCATATGTGGTATATTCCTGTCAGAGCGGTACTAGGTAACCAGAACATAATCAAAGAAGCTGGACTACATGAAGAACTCAGCATCAGTACCAGAGGAAAATTCTTTAACAATGTGCATATGTAGATGACACAAACTTGCTTGCTGAAAGTGAAGAAGACTAAAGCACTTACTGATGAAGATCAAAGACTTCAGTGTGGATTACACCTCAACATAAAGAAAACAGAAAATCTCACAACTGGACCAATAAACAATGCCATGATAAATGGAGGAAAGATTTAGATTGTCAAGATTTCATTTTACTTGCATCTACAATCAATACACACTGAAGCAACAGTCAAGAAATCAAATGATGTATTGTATTGGGCAAATCTGCTGCAAAAGACCTCTTTAAGGTGTTAAAGAGCAAAGATGTCACTTTAAAGACTTAAAATGTGTTCACCCAGCCATGGTATTTTCAATAGCTTCATATGCATGTGAAAGCTGGACAATAAATAAGGAAGACCAAAGAAGAACTTACGGATTTGAATTGGGAGGTTGGCAAAGAATACTAAATATACCACGCACTGCCGGAAGAACAAACAAATCTCTCTTGCAAGAAATACAGGCAGAACGCTCCTTAAAAGTGAGAATGGCCAGACTTCACCTCTCATGTTTTGGTCATGCTGTCAGAAGGGACCAGTCCCTGGAGAAGGACATCATGCTTGTTAAAGTAGAGGGTCGGCAAAAAAGGGGAAGTCTCTTAGTGAGATGGAATGACACAGTGGTTGCGACAATGGTCTCAAGCATGGCAAAGACTGTGAGGATGGCACAGGACCAGGCAGTGTTTCGTTCTGTTGTACATACGGTCTTTACAGGTCAGAGCTGACTCAAAAGCACCTAACAAGAAAAATATGTCATAAAATCCATTTCCATATTTACATACATGGTGTCTGTGGTCTATCCTCTGAAGGAAGATTGGGCACTCTGCTTCCCTATATAGAGATACCGCCTTGGAAATCCAAGGAGGGGTCACTATGATTCGAATCAACTCAACGGCAGTTGAGTTTGAGTTTTAGTAGTCTGTCAAGATATGAATTAACAGTAATACTTTGATTGAGATTTAAATTTGGCAAAACTAAAACTATAAAAATATGACATCATCCCACTATTACACGGGTGCAAATATAACTGCAAAATTTGTTACCTTGTTAAGCAGTGTTACAACATAAGTCTTGATCTAAGGAAATTGTTGCTAGATATGGGAAGAAGAAATTCAATTTTAAAGACACACAGGGTAGGCAGGTGGGAAAGGAGAATTTAAGGCTAAGCACTGAGTTGCAGTAATGCTACTCTCACCGATTCAAGAAAGGGGTGTCAAGAAAATTGAGTTGTGCTGACCTGAGATCCTGTGGAATAGACAAGTGGAAATTGTAAATCAGAAATAGAGTCCTAGCTCTAAAAGGAAGAATCGTAACAAATCATAATGTTTGTGACCACCAGTGTAGGTAGTATCCATTTCATCTGTGCTCCCACATAACTGTGCTTGGCTTTATTTCAATACTCAGTCTATTGTGTAACACAGTAATATATCAGCAACTCTCCTTTCCACCCCAGACTGTCACACCTTCCAGGGCAGCATCTCTTACTCATGGAGACTACTTAAAAGAACTTCAGAAGCAATAAAACAGAGATTAAGCAGACTAGAGTCAGTTCAAATTCCAGTTCCATTCACCAATTCAGGTGGGACAGAGTACACACATTTCTTGGGATCTACTCCCACTAGAATGTAACTTTCATTAATGCTTCCCCCCCCATTTGTTCACCCACAATAAGTATTTAGTTTATGAAGCTTGCCTCTGAAATGGTCACAATAACAGTATCTACTTAATAGTGCAATTATCTAACCAAACCAAACTCACTGCTGTGGAGTGGGATCCAACTCATAGCGACCCCTCCTTGGATTTCCCAGGCGGTGTCACTACACAAATAGATTGCCCAGTGTTTCTTCCCAGGAGTGGCTGGTGGGTTTGAACTGCCAGCCTTCTGGTTAGCAGTCAAATGCCTTAGGCACTATGTCACCGGAGCTCCTAGTACAATTATAAGCATTAAAAAAAGATTATCCTAGAAATGTTAGCTGCTATTATTCTGATTATCATCAATATCATCCTTCAGTCCCAAGAATAGGAACCTGGGAGATCTTCCTAGAAAAGTGTTGCGTACACTGTGGCCTGCACTTTGGGACATAACACGGAACAAATATATCCTGCAGGCATTATCACCTGAAGTTTCCCAGGCAGTCTTATTATATGTTCTTCTTCACAGCCTAGTACACAGAAAATTTACTTACGCCAAGAAGAATGGAGACAGTAAGAACCTGGGTGCCTATCTGAAACCAAAACACTTGATGCAAGGTAGATATGTTGTTGTTGTTGTTATGTACCATCGAGTCGGCCCCGACTCATAGCGACCCCTCCTTGGGTTTCCGAGGCAGTATCACTACGGAAGTAGGATTGCCCAACCTTCCTTCCGAGGAGTGGCTGGAAATCTCAACCTGAATATTAAACCGGTTTGCTACTGACCAAGTGTAAAGACAGAAATAGGAGCAAAGTGCCAATGAACATAAAGGGATCCAAACGCTATTTCACTTGGATTCATCCAAATCATGTCTGCATTCGATTAATCAAATGTCTATAACTGGGAAACTAATTTCTAACTACTCGGAAACGAATAGTACAACAGAAAAAAAGGTGGAAGCTACCAGAGGGGACAACTGCAAACTGGATTAGTACATCAGTTCAAAGTGAATTGAAAGAGCACGGCAGCGTAATTTCAGGAAGTTTGCTGCAAGTGCCCGGACACCCAAAGCCTTTTCGACTTGCCGAACTTCAGGGGCGCATCCACCTCCACGGAGACTTGGGGGTCGATGGTCTCAGATACGATGGTCACCTCCTTCCGCGCCTCATCGTACCTCACCTGCAGACCGTCCAGCCCCTGCGCCCTGCCCTCCACGCCGCTCACCACCACCAGCACGCGGTCAGCATCCGGGTACGTGAGAGGGTCGAGGGGTCTCACGGTCAGGTCGCACGGAAGCCGCGCCCTCAGCCGGCCGAATGGGCTTACGAGCAGCGTCCACGCCTTCAGCGTTCGGCGCTCGAGGGCAGGCGGAGTAACCTCGGACTTCCACCCGGGCCAGCGATCGCACCCGCCCGAACCATATGGCCGGGTCTGGTAAATCCGACACGTCCCGCGCACGACAGCCTCACCGACCCACACTCGCAGCTGGCAGAGCCTTAGGCTGCCGCGCCCCCAACTCGAGACTGGGACGAACATGGCATGTGCCTCTTCCGCCCCCTCAGATAACCTCACCCACAGGGAGGGTCACTTGCAGCAGCCACTTGACCCTAAGCCGCCTCAAGTCAAAGGGGAGATTTGTGAGCGGGTTTGCTGAAGCAAGAGCAAGCCTGCCAACTCTGTTGAGTGATTTAAATCTCTGCTGCTCAAGTCATAGCTGCAAGTTGGCATTTCAAAGCTGTAAGTAATCTACCATGACTAGGGCTCTTCCTTCACCACCGCTCCCTTCGCAAAGGTCCACGGGATAGGTAGTTCTAAATCGGTCACACATCGAAAGGCTCTGGACAGTTTAGAAACTACGAATCCCAGAAGGCAATTCGCAGGATAGCCCATGAATTAAGAGCAGGTACAAGACTGGGCTCGGAAGGCGCGTACTCTTTGCCTCAAGTCCATTGGCCATTGGCGGAGCGGAAGATTCTAAATAGGAATTCATCTGACCAATAGAAAGCGCAAAAGGGGGAAGGTGGGCCAGTCTCCTGCGTGTGTAGTCTCCTTGGAGACCCAGGACGCGACTTCTTTGCAGGGGGTGGAGCTTTGGAGTGAGACCTACGAAAACCAAAGATAAAAATAAGAGCCTAAATAAGGAGCAGAACCAAGGGAAAGGATAAGAAACTGTTCTTTTAAAGGTGAGAACTAGCGTCAAACTAGGAGTACCCTCTGTGGGTGGTTAGACTCAGGCTTCCCTGAACTAGGGCGGTATCTCTAGAGATAGAGCCTTCCTTGGCAACGGGCTAAAGAAGCAGATTGGTGCTTTAGGGGGGAAATCCCCCTCTAGTAGCAAATTTAAGAATAGCATTAGAATCTTGATTGGCTCCTTCCTGACTTTAGGTAACCTTGGGCCGATCATTAAACGTCTCTGAGTATTAATTGTTCATTCTTAAAATAGGACGAAAAATACCTTTCCATCCTTACCTCAAAAGGCTTTTGTAAGTGTCGGATATATTAAAGGATGTAACCGCGTTGCACAGTCTACAATATTGCAATGTAAAATACTATATTTTTATTTTAAAAATTGCTAAAAAACCTCACTGCAGTCTAGTTGATCCCGACTCATAGCGATCCCCTCCTTGGGTTTCCAAGACAGTATCTCTACGGAAGTAGTGGGTTTGAATCCCCAGCCTTCTGGTTAGCGATCAGATGCCTTAGGCATTACCCCACCAAAGCTCCCTTAGAAATCACACAGACTCTCAATTACAAAGAAAAATTTCAGAGATCAGGATTTGTTTTGGCAGCAACGTTAATCTTTGATTACTAATGACCTTGATTTTAGGGCTAAAATAAGATCCAAAAAGAGTCAGCATGGTGCTGTGGGAAGAGCAGATATTTTTCCTGACTCTGCCACTGATCTCTTTGTGTGATCTGGCTGTGTTTCTTCAGCTTTAGAATGGACTCACTCCCTCACTGCTAGCCAGTCCATTCGATTGAACTCCTGGCGACCTGCTACGGAGGTAGATTGCCCAGTCTTCCTTCCGAGGAGTGTTTGATGGGTTTGAACCGCCAGCCTTCTGATTAGCAGTCAAATGCCTTAGGCACTACACCACGAGACCTCCCTTTAGAATGAAGGAATTTACTAAATGTCTCTATAAGATCTCTTTTACCTTTCATTATTCTATTAAAGAAACAACACTGCCATCCAGTCTAATCCAACTCATAGTCCTCAACTGCCTCATCTTTCTCACATGGTGGCTAATGGGTTAGAACTGCTGACCTTTTGGTTAGCAGCCTAATGCTTTAACCACTGGGCCACTAGACTCCTTTTAATTATTCTATACACATTCACTGCCATTGAATTGATTCTGACTCATAGCGACCCCCAGAGGGTTTCCAAGGAAGTAAACTTTTACAGAAGCAGATTGCCTCATCTTATTTCCACAGAGCCAGGCTGGTGAGTTCCAACCACTGACCTTTTGGTTAGCAGCCAAATGCCTTAACCACTATACCACCAAAACCAAACCCTCTGCCATCCAGTAGATTAGAACTCATAGTGACCCCCATTGGGTTTCCAAGGCTATACATCTTTACAGAAGTAGTTTGCCTTATCTTTCTCCCCTGGAAGTGCTGGTGGGTTTGAACTGCTGACCTTTTGGTGGCGGTGGTTGTTGTTACAACAACCTTTTGGTTAGCAGCCACATACCTTACCCACTACACCACCAGAGCTCCTTTATTATCCTTCAGGCAATAAAGAGAAAGATTTATTTCCTCTTTTTCTTCCTGATCTCTTCCTTTCTGTGCTCTTACTTCCTCCTACAAATTACTCCCCAAATTCTTTAGCAAAGACACACTGCAAACAATGACATTTATTAAAATGCAAGTGCTGGAACTGATTGTCTTCAATAATTGAAGCCCTTGCACAGGTGCAGTGATCAGAATGATTGGGAGTGATAATGATAGTGAGGCAGATAGTCTGGGCTGACATCTTCTTGGGCCCAGATGCAAGGTGGTTTGATAGACATAACATTTTTATACAAGTCATTGTTTCGTAAGTTGTCCTCCTAGTCCTTCCTCCATCCTTATTCTTCCTCCTTTAGTGAAGGAGATAGCTTTCAGATTTTGCAGGTGCCCACTGAATACTAATTTTGTCCTTGGCTTTGTGTTTCATCTAGTTATAATTTTTCAGATTGATCTTCAAAATATGTTTTTTTCTGAAAATCTTTTGACACAACTTTGAAAACAAAACTGTTAGGTAGTGGTGTAAACAATTTGGGAATGCACTCATGGTTTCCAAATAAGTGCCAAATATTGGTAGCATAGTGCCTAAGGCACTTGACTGCTAACCAGAAGTCTGGCGATTCAAACCCACCAGCCACTCCTTGGAACGAAGGTTGGTCAATCTACTTCCATAGTGATACCACCTTGGAAACCCAAGAAGGGGTTGCTGTGAGTCAGGTCCAACTCAACGACAAACAACAACAACAACACTTTTAGATTAAATATGGGTTCCTTATAGATAATTCTGTTGCTGTGATAATTTTTCCTTTTCTGAGTCAAACCAAGTTAATAGAATTGGCACCTGAACCATAATTGTCTATGTGGCATAATCATTGTTTCCCTTTTTTCAAATAAAGCTAAGAAAGCTAAATAAAATTGATTTAAAAATTCCCTTTCTGGAAAGAGAACTCAGATAAGCAAAGCATTATTGAAAAGGAAGAACAAAGTAGGAGGTCTCACACTTCCGGATCTTAAAACATACTATACAGCCACAGAAGTCAACGCTGCCTGATGTTGGTATAATGACAGGCACATAGACCAATGAAATAGAATTGAGAACCCAGAAATAGATCCATCGACCTACGGTCAGCTGATCTTTGACAAAGGGCTGAAATCCATTAAATGGGAAAAAGACATTTTAATAAATGGTGCTGGCAAAACTGGATATCCATTTGCAGAAAAATTAAACAAGACTTAAATGTGAAACCTAAAACTATAAAGTTCCTCAAGGAAAAACTA